GAATATTTTTTCTGAAGCAAATTCGGTCTACCTGTTAAGTAAATGGGCTTCTGTAAGGTATTTGAAGCTCAATAATATTAGTGGAATTTTTTCGCCACATTTTCTTGCAAAAATAAAGCCAAAATGTGTTATGTTTGCATTTTTTATTGCAATATTGCACTTTGTATGAATATCTGAGCAGTGAATACTTACTCCACAGAAAGTATATTTTGAGGGTACGTTATCTTTAGACCTCTCAAGCTGCTGAAATATAGAAGAAAATATCACGAATTTCACAAAATCGCAATTTTTGTCCGTATTGGGATGCAATTTGCTCCATGTTGTGATAAAATGAAAACTTATCATTAAACTAAACGTTAAGAAAATAAAATTCTTTTTATAATAAAAATCTTAAGGCAAAAAGGACAGGAAAGAGCGCTGTCAACTGAATTTTATTGAAGGTGCAACGAGCGCTTTTATACTGAGCACAAGAACAGGGCTCATCTGCAACAACACATGTGTGACCATGACAAAATAATTTTAACCGAGAAAAGAATACTCTTTTTCGGAAAAGATAAGTGAAGGTGTACTGATGCATTGATCCTTGGCCTTCCTGATAAAAAGTTCTAAAATCTTTCATTTTTTCTGCTTGCTTTCTTTCAAAAACCGTGTTTTATGAAACCCAGGACTGTACCTACATTCTTTACGGTGTCCAGCCATGAGACCACTATAGCCATTCTTAACATTTAAAGCATGCTGTCTTGCTCGATCATTGAAGCATTGCCCAGTTTATCCTATGTTTACTTTTCCACATGTTAGCGGTATCTCATACACTTTAGATTGGCATTCAGTAAACCTATTCTAGTGACGAATGGTGCAAGATTGACTATTCCTGTTGCTGTAAGTACATGCACTTTTAAAAGCTTGCAAGGGGTGGAAAACAACAATGTCATAGCTGCTGGCTCTTTCCCTAAAATTGTGAGACACCTTATGTACGTAGTACCGTGTAACATGCAAAGGTCATTGGTCATTCTGTTTTTCTTTTGGTCCTGTTTCCTTTAACTTTACTTTCTGCAGGAGTGTTTCGAAAACGAGTGTGATGATGCTGTTGGGGTATTGGCTGGTGTTATCAGCCCAGGAGGGCTAAGAATGTTCTGCCTTTTGATAGTGGGCATTCAAAATTAGTAAAAAGAGGAATTGATACCACATGTATTCAGGCCACCCTTCAGAAGTCATGTTACCACAACGGTGAGGTCAGGCTTGAAAACCAGATTAAAAGACTAAAAGATGCTGGATATACCAACAGAATCATCACACCCGTTTGGGAAACCCTCCTGCAGAAAGTAAAGTTAAAGAAGACGCGGACCAACAAAAAACAATGACCAAAACCTTTGCATCTTATACCACATCACGTGTCTCACAATTAAAAAAATTGCCAGCAGATATGATATTAACGTGTTATTTTCCACCCCTTGCAAGCTTTCAAATGTGTGTGTACTAAACAGCAACAGGAATAGTCAATCTTGCACCATTAGTCACGAGAATAGGTTTACTTAATGCCAATTTAACGATTGTAGAAGTATTTTTTATCAGGTAAACCAATGATCAGTGCATCACTACACGTTCACTTATCCTTTCCGAGAGGGAGTATTCTTTTCACAGTTGAGATTATTCTTTAGTGCTCACACGTGTCGTCGCGCATGAACACGGTTCTTGTACTCCGTATAAAAGCGCTCGTAGCACATTCATTAAATTCAGTTGACAGTCGGTGCTCGTTCCTGTCCTTTCTGTCTCTTCGTAAAGTTGTCGCGCTGTGACTAGCACACAACCACGATGAACCAACTCTCCCAAATTAAGCTCTTGTTACGTAACGCGTAGACCAAGTTTCGTATGGAAAGAAGGAGCGGTGCTTTTAAAATAAACTTTTTCACATACAACACCTAGACGGCATTCGAGGAAGTTCAGAAGGCAGCCACATGACCAAACATTTTTCCTCTCCTAAATATTCCAGAAGTTCACTATTTTCAATGCAGCACGAGTTTTTTTAATATATTTGAGATGGTTGCCAAAATGGCTGGGACATTTGGCTAAAATGACCCAGCTGTGTCATTAGCCGTTATTATGCATTACCCCTTTTGTTTTTTGTGTGTCCTGACTCAGTTTTGTGTTCGTTTCTAGCTTATTCTGTTTCTGATCATTGTATTGGTTTTTTAGGTATTCGCTAAAGTTATATGTGCGAAAACCCATATATGTTTTCATGTACATCATTTCTCATAACCAATTGTTATACATCCAGGAATACAAAGCTTAAACCGCTGTGATTGTATACATTTGAAAACACTATCCGTATATATTTTTGTGTACATGAAGGCGTATATAGTGAAATCATGGTGATTGTATATATTTGAAAGAATTATAAGTATATATTTGCCTGTATTTCATTCCTATTAACCGATTGTGTACATGAAGGAGTAGTAAACTGAAACCACCGGAATTGTAGATACTTGAAAGAATTATAGGGATATATTAGCGTGTATTTCATTTGTAGTCTCTATGTACTTGAAGCAATATACTAAACTGAACCAGTGTAATTGTATGTTTTAAAGAATTGTCAATAAAGTGAAACTGAAAAAATATAATAAACATTTGAGGTGTTGTGTGTGTAGTGTACGTATACGTCAACATGTTACACATCTGATGAAAAAGTTGTGTGGTAGAAGAAAAGTTTATAAGTTTTAATTGCATAATAAATAAATGCAATATGCAAGGGCAGCAAGGCTTAGTTTTCTGTAACGCGCCTTATGCATATACTGTGAAGTATATATAGATTCAGCAGAAGTTCATACACGATTGTACGGGTTAATATTTTTGCCCACACGCAATGAATGGAGCTCGACAGGTGGCGCACCATTAATAATCAGGACCACTTTCTTCAAGTAGTGTGTAATCAGTGCATGCTGATATCTATAAGTGCAGCCTAAAGAATACTGGCACCCCTGCCATGGGCACTCAACACCCTTGTGCACCCTTCTCGCACCCTCCTCAGAGGGTGCTAAAAAAGTGAAGGACATCGAAGGCACCCTTCCTTAAGGGTGTTTTTGTAACACCCTACAGTTTTTTTACATGTACACCCTATTCTAAGGGTGCACGGAAAAGCACCCTTTTTGGAAGGTGCTGAATTAACACCCTTAGGGTGTCGTCCATGAGACAAGCTCAATTACACCCTTCAGGGTGTAAAAATATTTACTGTGTACGGCGTCTCTCATATTCATATGATGGTTTTGGGACGTTAAACCTCACATATCAATCAATCAATCAATCAACCAATCAATTAATTGATCAATCAATCAATCAATCAGTCAATCAATGAATCAAGGGAAGGATAGATGCTATAGTAATAATACTCATATAGTAGATGTCAAGAAAGAAAAGTGGGTGAAAAGATAGCTCTACGAAAAGATAACGTGGAACACTTGTATTTCGTTTCTGAAACATTGTTGTTTAAGCACCCCTGCTTCTTATGAACGGCTATGTTGGAAGTCAAAACAAAGAAATGGTCTCCATATTGATAAAAACAGCGTGCTATAAAAGCCTGCCTGCGTGAATTCGGGTGCACGTTAAAGAACGCCAGGTGTTCTTTCCGGAGCCCTCCATGCACTATAGAGCGTGCCTCCATATATAGTGCTTTTGGCCCGTCAAACCTCAGGTATTATTATCACTTCCTTATTGCTAAGACGAAATAGCGCAGGCGGAGGCACCCGCGAAAACAAACTCAGCACGTCGTCTTGTCCCTTGCACTTGCTCCGTCTTCTGCGCAGTTTTAATGAACTTGAACCAACTAGCGCAACTAAGTGGCCTCGTGATTTCATGTCGGCTATATGTCCACTATCTCATCGAATGGCGTCGGCCACTCGAAGCGAGATGGCGTAGAGTTACTGTATATGCTACCTTTAGATAGTTCATACAGTAATTCTAAGGTGGCGCACATAGAAGTGCCGCGCTTATGTGTGCGAAATCGGGCACAAAGCCCGGCGTGGTGGAACTCATGTTTCACCTCTCGTGGGAACGAGGCTGGACACGAACGTTAGCCACGTTGAGTTCACGCTCCTATAGCAGTGACTAACGGCTGGGCATGAAGAGTTGCGTGCAAAAAAGAGGACGATGGGGATTAGAGGCGTAAACAATGAAAAAGAAACTTGCGCAGTCCTCATTTCGGAATAAATCAAGGACAATGCAGAAGACACTGCATCGTCGTGAGTCGATGCCAGAGTGCCACTCGATCCTATATTCGATTTGCATGGACTTTGGTGACTGCCAAAAAAGAAACAAAGGCTGCAAGGACAAGTTAAAGTGATTTGGATCAGTACAGATGAGAGAAAGAATGCGATACAAGACTACTGGGCAAAGGTGTCTGCGTACAAAAAAGAAAATTGTGCAGCGGACTACCCACGTGGGAGTATCCGTACACAGTGTGAAGAATATTTTTATTTAGATATATCTTTAGACCTCATACTCTCAACGTGAATTGTACAATCTTTTTTTTATGAACAGCATTGTAATGCAGTGCAGTACGACAGAACCCTCTAAGATGCAAAGAGAATTTGAGCGAAACGAGCGACTGATAGCATGAACCCGTAGAACACCGCGTCGGGCGAATTGGTATTCCATTGTAAATGGCACTTGTGAAAAAATAAATAAACAAACAGGCGCACGAAAGAAACAAACTACGAGACAACGCTTTTTTCATTCGGTTCCTTTTTTGTCTATTATTATTACTTTGCTCAAGTGACATTCATTTTGTTCAAGTGACATTCATTTTGTTCAAGTGACATTTATTTTGTTCAAGTGACATTCATTTTGTTCAAGTGACATTCATTTTGCGCAAGTGACGTTCATTTTGCGCAAGTGACATTTTGTTCAAGTGCAGTGCATCGATTATTACAGCACGTGGGCGCTTTGCGATGGACCTCCACGATTCTTTTTTTTAAACCCTTTATCTGTATATGGGCATGCGCTCGCAGATCCTGGGCTCTATAATCGCTTGCTTATACTTCATGTTCGGCGTCGAGTCCCGCAGCCAGCAGTTCTTGTACCTGACGGCCATGACGTACGGCATCAACGACGTGCACTTCATCTTCTCCGCGCTGCTCTCGGAAGCCGATTCCACCTTCCTGCCGTCGTCCATCTACGTGAGTCCGCGGCATATATAATCGAATGAAGCGGGGGCATGGATGGGATTGCACACGAAGATAGGACTGAGGAAAAGAGCAGGAGTGGGAACTAGTATTTTTTTTCCCAGTCACCCATCCCGACAGGCTACAGCGCACATGTAGACATCCTTTACGTGCGCTGTAGACTTTCGTGATGCCTTACGAACTAGTCCACCAAGCCATCCTCGGGAACTTCATGCCGATCAAGTTTCGCGCCCAAGGCACAGCGTTGGTAAATAAATTCGAGTACGACGATTTCATTATCGTCCACGGCAGCTTGCTTTTGATGTGAGTGAATTAAGAATAATTAGGAAAAAACACGTCCGCGTACCGAGTGTACTTCAAAGAACCCTAGCTGTTCCAATGTAATCCGGAGTTCTCCATTACGACGTGCCTCACAATCCTATTGTGGTGTCGGTGCCTGAAACCCCATATTCTATTACTTTTTTGGTCTTTCATTCGGTTTTCTCCAGGGCATATTGATTTTTTGATGTTCCCTATTAGTACGTGTGCACGTCCTTCATGCAAATTCAGTATTTGTGCGATCAAATAATATTAGATATTCTGTATGAATGCACGTGAATTTTAAGTAATTACACGTGAAGAAAACAAGTAGGGCAATGAAAAGAAAATATTCTCACCGACTATTAATTCACAGCTCCGTGTGCCTCCCCCCCTGTTTTTGTTCAGAATATTGATAATTATAAAAATATACTTTATTAGTCCGTAAGGCATGTACGAACCATCCCAGTTTGGGCCTGCATCTATACATCCAAAGTATGACATTCATTATACGAATAGCTTGAATAGCGAATACTTTCAACATAACAGGTGTAAATACGTATACGAACCAAAGTTACATTGTGGAACTATTTAAAATAGTCCCACATTTAAGGGCCATGCCGGTGTGGGCATTTGGTATTTTTAAGCTGCGTTTCATCAACCGATACTTTGGTTCTATCAGCTTTGCTAAAAAAAGCACTGGATGACTACGTAATGAAATATGCACCATTATTGAAGTGATTACATAGATAATAATTAGTGACTGTTTTAAATCGGCGTACGAACTGATCGATTTATATGTTAAGCACCCTCGATAACGGTCACATTCATTAGTTGTCTATCTCCTTTTTTTAACATCCCAAAACCATTATATGATAATGAGAGACGCCGTAGGGGAAGGCTCCGGAAATTTCGACCACCTGGAGTTGGTTCTTTAACGTCCGTCAATAGTTGTCGAGAGAAAGTTGTGTCTTCAGTTTTTCCGCACCATTCAAAATTATAACTCTGTAAGAAGCAAAGAGAATTTGAGCACCACGCACGGAAGCGAGCGACTGTTAGAATGAATTTGTTACAGAAGAATACAACGTTGGGCGAGTTGGTATTCCATTGTGAATGAGATTTGTGAAAAAAACTAGGCAGCACGCCGCACATAATTACATCGATGTACATATTCATCAAAGCTTCACGAGGGGTGAGGGCCTTGAATACACACAGAGCTATTCCATTTTTGTAAACAGCGGTAGGCACCGTCGACGTACTGAGGCGCTTGTAGCGACGTCGCGGCAGGCAGGATCCGCCCAGCACAAGGCTCGCCATCGCGATCCGTGATCACCGGCACAGCAGGTGCATCCGGGCACAGCGCGTCTTCCCGCGTGTTCACGCTGGAGGCTCCCGATGCGCTCTGCTCGGAGTCAGCTTTGCCGCTGCTGTGCCCATTAGCAAATGATCATGGAGAACGGTGGCGAGCCTTGGGCTGGGCGGAGCCTGCGCACCACGACGTCGCTAGTACGCCGACGACGGCAAGCGCTGTTTACAAATATGGGATAGCGCTTCACGTTCTTCCGCAAACTCGATTATATATATATATATATATATATATATATATATATATATATATATATATATATATATATATATATATATATAATATATATATATATATATATATATATATATATATATATATATATATATATATATTTCGTAATACGCCGTTCACACACACGGCCAGTTGCACACGCGTCGCAAGTACCGCTGTCACACGTTGTTGTTCTTCGCCAATTTTGGTCGTTTCAGTTCGTCGTGTATCAACTGACGGCATCGTTCTGTTACATCATCAATGCCATCGTTATCATGCAAACGTACAACAGCCCTGGTGACTGCATCTTTGGAGGGGTGAGCAACTTTGTTCGCCGAGTCACCGACGCGATTGTTCAAATAACGCTGCCGTTCCATTCTTTTTTTTCTATTTGGAACGGCGACCGAAGAAGATCTATGCGCCTTTTGGGATATGGAAACAAGCCCTAATGGCAGGCCCTTAATGCGACCTCAATGACAACACTGTTTACCTCGCCGTTATTAACAGTGAATCTACTACGTTTCGTGGCAAGGCTTTCTTGCCGCATGGCCGCTTATTGACACTCGCTTATCCTCCACCCCCAATGCGAGGAAAACAGTGTCTTCATTTAGGGCGTTTTCGAAGTCAACGGTAGATGCAACGTTCGGTGCGTCGGTTTCCCTTTCGCCTGCTGAATTAGCCCGATTTCTTTGCCCCGCGGTGAGCCTTTAGGAAATTTCAGAGTGGCTATAGACTGTTCGCAAGAAGCACTTCAATTCGCCCATTTGATTCTACCGCTTATTTTCACTGGTAAAGAGTTGATTGCTTTATTTCTCCAACTACTACCGTTATTAATACATGTACGCATCTGAAGGTGCCCTCTGTCACAGCAAATGTCACGCCACACGTAGCACACAGGTACCTTTTTCTTGTAACTTTTCAGTAATATTGGATAGATTTCTTGAAACACCCTGTACACTCTGTAGCAGTGACGTCATTGCGTGACGTAGCTAATTATTTTTAGCCATACCCAGACGTTTTTCATTTTGGTATGGTCGTTGACACGGGCTCCACCCACCATGCCGCCGCTATCGTCAACACTGTATGTACTACACGAACGGTAATAAGGAGTGATAAAAAAAATATCGGCATATTCCACGTACCTTGGGAATTGATGTTATGCAAAACATGTGGATGCAAGGTGAATGCGTTTTAATTTTTTTATTGAGCGAGACGTTAAGAAGTGGCGCTCAATATATTTATAATACCATGCACACACGTATACGTTAAACAGCCGCTTGTGTTATATATTAGCACTTGTTTGCAATCGCGTAACGATGCCAACAGCAACATATGGATATTAGTGACACCAGAAGCGGTAAGCTGATGTAAAGCGCTGGTGTTTGCTCTGGTGCGTGTGAGGAAGGTAACCCTCAACACTGCTACACAGATCAACTTCAGCGGATGACGTCCAACTACAATTTACGTTAACCCGACATGACGGCCGAATCATAGGAGTACTAATATAATGTTTATAAAATTGGATAGCTAGTACTGCAACCACAATTGACGTTACACGAACACTAGGTTCTATTTGAAAAGTATTTCCGAGGCCTGGCCTGGCTCTGTGGTGGAATGTGTTGCCACTTTTAACGAAACCTTCTCATGTGATTCTAAACCATTTAAAATCCTACACCTAAACACGCGTAGTATTAGAAATAAAGAGCAACAACTTAGTGACTTCTATGCCTCGATCACCCACAGCTTTGATATTCTGATGTACACGGAAACTTGGCTACCAGACACGGAAAAACCGCCACATTTCCTTGGTTACTCATATAATGGTTTCGTGTGGTCAAGCGGTAGAGGTGGTGGCATAGCAATTTATGTTAAAACGTCATTAAGGCATGCAATTATTTCTGAGTGTTCATTAATAAACAGCAGCGTTGAATGTATGTCGGTTCGTCTACAGAAATTAATAGTTGTAGTAATATATCGACCACCAATGGGCAACAAAATAGACTTTTTTGAGTATTTAGAGCGTATGCTTTCTTTTCTATGTCGATTTTCTATACGTTTTGTAATAATGGGGGACGTCAACATAGATATGTTATCGAGTAACACTGCAGCTGAAAAGTTTATTGAAATGATACACTCCTTTGCATGCACCAATTTTATCACGGAAGCCACAAGATTAACAGAAAAAAGTGCAACTTCACTCGACATATGTGTAACAAACATTCATTCCCGAGACTGTTTTCTGGACTGCTAACGGCTGACGTAAGCGACCATTTTCCAATTTTTTGTTTACTGCCAAATATGCAAGTCAAACGCGAAACCACAGTGGAAGCCTTATCTCGCAGCATTAGTGCTGCAGGCTTGGAAGTGTTTCGCTCACATATTCAATCAGTCGATTGGACGTGCGTGTTTGAGAAAAAAAATTCGAATGCAGCATACGAGGTATTTTTCGAAAAACTTAAACTATGTTATAATCAAGCATTTCCAATGACCTTGCGAAAACCAAAACCCAAACGTGCAAGGAAGCCGTGGATTGATGAAAAGCTATTGAAAAATGATTAAAACAAAAAATAAAATGTACCACACATTTGTTCGGTCACGGAACTTGGAGGCGTTGTCAGAGTTTAAAAAATACCGAAATAGGTTGAACACCGCCTTAAAGCGTGCGAGGGAAACATATTACGAAAAGTTATTTACGAAAATAAAAAATGACTCTAGGAAGGTGTGGGACGAGGTTAAGAATCTAATGTCAGAGAAAAAAAGAGCCACCACCGCTATGTTTTCATACTAATGCAGGTACCTTATCTGATAGTGACGCAGTGAATAAGATGAATGAGTACTTTGTCACCAGTGCAGAATATAAAAACCGTAGCAATATAGCTCCCTGTGTTACATTAAAAGAGTGTAGGCTTATAAACTCCGTGTCACTATCCCCAGTGACATCAGAGGAAGTAATACAATTGATAAACCAGATTAAAAATAACGTAGCCGCTGGCTTTGATGAGATCAAGGCAACTCCGCTAAAATACGTTGCTGATATTATAGCTACAATGATTGTTTATATAATAAATAGAATGTTCGAAACTGGTATTTTCCCAGACAGCCTAAAAATAGCGAGAGTGTGCCCAGTATTCAAGGGTGGTGATAAACGGCTGTTCACAAACTACAGGCCAATATCCGTTCTTCCTGTTTTATCTAAGGTATTTGAGAATGCATTAAACGTACGCTTGTACAAATTTTTTTACAAGTACAATGTGATCATTGAGGCTCAGTAAGGTTTTCAAAAAAATAAATCTTGTGAAGCAGCTTTGCTTAATATTAAACATGAACTGATCACAAACATCGAACATAGACTGTACTCACTAGGTTTGCTCATAGACTTTAGAAAGGCGTTTGATTTGGTATGTCATGAAGTACTAACGGCTAAACTTAGCAGGTATGGGGTACGTGGTGTGGTTCTTGAGTTAATGAAAAACTATCTAACAAACCACCATCAATATGTTTGCATAAACAAAAGTGCGTCCACTTACTTAAATATAACAAGAGGAGTACCACAAGGGTCAATTCTTGGTCCTATATTGTTCATAATTTATATAAACGACCTGTGTGATATCCCAAGTTCTCCCAAGTTGATAATATATGCAGACGACACTAACATATTCTTTAGCGGTACATCCATTCTAGAGCTTGAACACCAGGTTAATGACTACCTACGAAAGTTGTCCGCGTATCTTAGTTTGAATAAACTGCAACTAAATGTTAGTAAAACGAAATACATTGTCTTTGCCCCACGTAACTATAGTTCAACTGTTTTATTTCAGGGCAAAGAGATAGAGCAAGTCACCAGCCAGAAGTTCCTAGGTGTATGGTTTTCTGAGGGATTGACACGGAACACACATATAGAAAAACTAACGGTAGAACTCAGTAAAACCGTTGGATGTTTATATAAGCTCAGCCCACTCTTACCAAAATGGTTACCAATATAATTATATTACGCCCTTTTCTACTCTAAAATGACATACGGTACCTAGGTATGGGGTACTACTACACAAACAATTAAAAATTACTAGTTCTGCAAAAAAAAGTTTTGCGAGCATTCGAGCCATACCATGGTATGGACTTGAAAACCAAACCACTCTTTGAAAAATACGCATTACCAACAATAGGAAAACTGTATCATTTCAAACTTCTGCAGTGGATTAAACAAAACAAGCCACAGTGTCTTCAGAACCCGCCTGACAACACTCATTATACTATGCGCCAGCAACGCCGGAAAATCCCAGCCAAAAGGACAAGTTATGGCAAGCAACACGTTCAGTATCAAATACCCACAATGTTAAATTGTTTACACGGTCTCATAGATTTCAATTCCATACCTTCGAACACCATCATCAAGTCCATCCTAATGAACCATGATACTGAGTATGCTTATTAAAGTTTCTGTACTTGATTTGTTATATCCTATCTATCAATTTGAGTTATGTGTTGTAGTTGCTTTTCTTATGCTTTCTTTTACATTCTGTAATGAAGTTTCTTTTCAGGTGACGCTTTTGTGATAAAGTGATTTTTCTTATGTTTTCCCTGAAATGGTGTGACAAGACCATGCTAAATTTTGTTGTGTTATGGTTTATTTATTGTGTTATTTATGTATTTCTGTGTGTTATTTGTTGTGCTATATATTTATTTCTGAAAACATATGCGACAGATTGAGCGGCCTGCGTACCAAACTGTATTTAGGAGCAGAGGCCCCATGTCAGGCTATTTAGCCTTTAGCCTCTGCTCCCTATCCTGTAAGAATTTCAGGACAAATAAACTTCAATTCAATTCAATTCAATACTTCGTTGCCACGCAGAATTATAGGGTTCAATTTCTGCTGGGACACTGACATTTATTGTTCGCATTCGTCCAGTCAACGCTGACTATGAAAACATTTTCATAACGAAAGTTACCCATGCATGTGTGTTCTCGCCGTTCCAGGATAGATATAAAATGTCTATCACTTGTGGCAAGCCCCTCCCCCGGGTGTTTCTTGGAAAGTGTTTGACGACGTACGCGACGACATTGTGACATCATTGATGTCATGACCAGCGAGTTGTATTCTTCAAACCATCTTACCCTGCCGTACGAACTTTTATGTATACCTCAAGATAAAGGGGTGATCATGAGAGCACCCAGAAGTAGGCGGCCTGATAGATGGATGCGAAGATAGACGCCAAACGTGCTTGCAGTACGCAAACAAAATGCTTCCCATATAACAATAGAAAACGGATTTCAATAAAATGTGCACCCTGTCTGCTTTGTTTAGTTTTAAAATTTGAACAGGTTCTGCCGGCTAGGGTATTGATAAGTACACATTCATTTGTCGACAAGTCGCTCAATATACGCGTAAAATTTGAGCGTTGTAGACATACGCAAGTTGCGAACGTGGTCGTACTCGTTCTTGGCTACTTTCAGACAACTCTAGCACACGTTTACCTAATAAATTATTTGGATACACCTAATTTGCTGACCATTCTAATCAGTGTTTGCTGTTCTTATGATCTATCTGTAAAGACTACCTGACTTTATTTTTATTTCTCATTGCTTGGTCCCTTGAGTGTCCGTTCGTAAACACGTTCTTTCTTTTCATTGCAGATCGGCGGGCTCCTCTGTGGACTCCTCCACGCAGGTCATCTTGTTTACACTCTAAAGTGACTCAGACGTTGTGCACTTGTCTCGAAAAACACGTTGTCGTTCGGACAAGGTCATATGCCCCGTTCTGTGCAATCGTAATTTAAACCAATGCCTCCTATATTATATCAATGCCAGCCAGGTGAACCCGATCCAGCCGTTCACGGCCCTCTCCTCTATATAGCTCTTTCCTGCTCTCGCCCATCGCCTAGCCTTCGCGTGTGCTCTGCGGGCATGGGGAGAGAACCCCTCATGCACTGCCTCCCGACGGCAATCATATGAAGTAATCTTTAGTTCAACTGTGGGAGGTGGTGTCTTGCATTCCTCGTGTTGAAAATGTTGGCGGTAATGCTGGCTCTGTAAGAGATACGGTGTTTTGAGATAGCGTGTCGCCGTTCGTGGCGCTATGCGGGCAACCAATGGGGAACCGTCACTGCAACGCAACTGCATGCGCTGCGCTGTGACGCGGTGGCGGCGCTGCTTCGAACCACAAAGAAGGAGCAGAAAGGAACAAATCTGACAGAGGTAAGATATTGGAGTGGTAAACATGTCTATCGCATCTGCGACGGGAAAGCGCTCGGAAGCACGCGCGACGTATAGAGTTACTGTATATGCTACCTTTAGGTAGCAACTATAGTAACTCTAGCCACGTAAGCAGCGCAGCGCCACACCACGACCTCTCCCTGAACTAAAGCGGGCCAACGTCTCCCTTTGGGAAGCGCGCGTTTGCACTGGCATGGAAAGAAATAATGGAGCCATTGATTAAATGTACACGTAGACGTGCACTTAAAAATGTGAAAGCGGGAATTCCGGAAAGAAGTGGTCGTGTTGCTGTCGGATCGCAGCTCGCGCTGCCAATCACAGCACTGTTTCTGCCAAGCCACTGAATGTGTTTGAGCAAAAGTATTTCCCCGCGTGCTCCTTTCTTTCTGTGTTTCATGACGCCGGCCCATCACAGGTGCCTTGTGTAGATGGTGCCTTGTGCAAATCGCGCCAAAATGTCTGAGATCATTTTTTTTAAGCTTAAGGGCGAACAGACGAGTTCATGCTACAGAATAAACGAGGCCACTAGTGATAGTGCTCGAAGGCTCGACGCCGCATGTATAAATGTCATTGTTTCTTGCCGCGGATAATTATCGACTACCAGCGCCCTGTTCGCCGCTCTCATTGTACAGTTCGTTTTGCTGTAGCTTGATTTTGCGTTACTCGGCAACAAATTCGGCCAAATGAAGAATTTCCTCTCGGGTAGACCGCCGGCTGCTTGGTTCACGTCACAACCACGTGACAGTATTTTTGGAGGCTGATCATAATGACTGGTACCCATTGCAGCCCAAAATGATGGTGATCACCCATACTGTGTGTTTAAAAACATACCTTATTAGGAAGAGGACTAGCTTTAACTGCATATTCATTTCCTTATTTCATGTAACAATTGCCAAGATATTACTGAATGGTGTACAGTAACAATGGACTGGTATGTGGCATCAAACGAAAACACAAAATGAAGAAATTATGACAGAACATGTATAAAATGCGTAAATGATATGAAAAAATGAACTTGAAGTCATTTTATTGTGAGAGCAATTGTACGGACACTCCCGGCGCGTTCCCGCACGTCGCGGGATCGAATCTCGGCTGCGGCTGCTGCATTTCTATGGAGGCGGGAATGTTGTAGGCCCGTGTGCTCAGATTTGGGTGCACGTTAAAGAACTCCAGGTGGTCAAAATTTCCGGAGCCCTCCAGCACGGCTTCTCTCATAATCATATGGTGGTTTTTGGACGTTAAACCCCCATCCATCCATCCATCCATCCATCCATCCATCCATCCATCATCCATCCATCCATCCATCCATCCATCCATCCATCCATCCATCCATCCATCCATCCATCAATCAATCAATCAATCAATCAATCAATCAATCCTGGCGCGTTTTCGGCGTCACCGTGAGGCATATATGACATCAGCGTATCGATCAATCAATTATTCATAGTATTCAACAAGGAGAAGTTGCAGGTATGTTCCATGGACAATCGACGTTCAGGCGCAGAGGAAACGTGCCGACTGTCTTTTTCGCCCGCGGGAGAGGAGGGGGTAACGTTGCTGAGTATACGGCGCTGAAATAATTTAACGCGAAGCTAGTATCAGTTCACCTTTGTAGCGCTTAAATGTATGAATGGTTTGCTCCTATCGAAAATCAATCAGAAGCTGCCACAATAGGTTGTCGTAACACTGTATAAAAAGCGTTCGCGATATGGAAACAATGCAGCCGTGTCAATATAGAGCGGGACCAGTGGAGGAGCCCAAGGGCTAGCGAAGCGCAAGACAACCGGTACAATATTTGTCGTGTGAATGCTCCGCTTGTTTTAGTGGTTACAGCCGAGCGCATTGCTGCGCCACCTGTTGAACATGGTTGACGCTACTGTTGATGGAGCAGAGAGGCTTTGCCTGGAGACCGCGCAGAGCTGCTCCGCCGCGCCTGCTCCGCTGAGGGGATGAAATGAGCAGGCGAGTCGCTCGCTCCGTAATATCGCTGGATCGCTCAGCGCAGTTCGCGTTCCGCTCGTTTGCAGGGCCCGCTGGCTCATTGAGCCGCTGAGCTATTACTCTAATGAATGAGCCAAATGTGCTGCTGGGTGCGGAAATATAGCGCTCGATTTCGCTTAACAAATAGCTGATTTCCTGTTGCGGCTCTTGAGGCCAGTAAGGATGGCTTTTATTAGGTTAGCTCTATCTACAGTTCATAGAATTAGGCTAGTATGTATGCGTCCTTCCGATTTTGATTGATGATTGATATATGGCGTTCAACGTTTCAAAACCACCATATGAATATGAGGGATGCCGTACAGTTGAGGGATCCGGAAATTTGGACCAGCTGGGGTTTTTTAATGTGCACCTAAATCTGAGCAAACTGGCTTATAGCAATTTCACCTCCATAGAAGAAGATCCCGCGACCTGCGTGTCAGCAGCCGAGTACCTTAGCCACTAGACCACCACGGCGGGGCGCGTCCCTTCTATCTTTGCGGCAGTTAACATGTCACGCTTGTCTGGTCGCCGTGGCTTTCTCGTTCTCGGGTGTCTTTTTCGGACGCCCGTGCGAAAAGGAGTTATCGTCACATACGCCCATCATGTAAAGATGTAAAGTAGCCATAGCCACAGGAGAGGTCAAGGTGTGCTGAAGGAACCATGGATAAGACTGACTTTGTCCTTTTGTCCTTTTTTGAAGGAAATGCATTAAAAGCGCAGAAAAGTATGGAGCAGATAGGGGACAACGGAGGCACTCTTTATCATTACAAGTTGATTTTCAAAACTTGTTGTTGAAAGATATTTATTCAATACTCTCGGCGAGAAAATACTTAGCTTGTTCAATACTTGGGGCGGAAGGCATCGCGCTCGTATGAGCTTTCAATATTGAAAACAAAGGGCTTTTGCGGCTTCCTTTAGGTAACGTTGAAAAACACGTTTCATCATCGTTATCATCATCACCGGAGACATCTCCACAAAGTCGGGTCAGTTGCCTGATAAATCGTACAACCGAAGAAATGCAATTAGGCTAGTCATAACAGGTAGTGGACCCAAAACAGAGCTTTGTGGAATGCTCGAGTCTGCTCTGTTTAAACGATCATGTGGATATTAGGTTCGAATAAATGCTATTTCCCCAGTCTCACTGAGAGCCCGGTTCCAAGTCGTGAGTTAGAGGCAACTCTATGACTTCTGGCCTTGCTATCAATCATAAGGTTTTTTTTTTTTCTACCGGAACGTGAAAACCCATGTGAAACAAAGAGATTTAATAAAACAGCTTTTTTCCAGGAAGTTCGGTCGTGCTGCGTCAGCGTTGATGAATTTTCCGGTGGCATCCAAAATGTCTGTTGGTGTTTTCACGGGTGTGCTAGTCGGGCTCAAGAGACAGCAACGACAGAACGTTGATGATAGTGCGAAGACCATGGACAAGACTGACGCTGAGCCCAGTCAGCTGCGAAAGAGAGAAAACCCAAAAGTAGCGAAGAGAAACATTGATGCTGCGGTTCATGGTTGCTAGGAACACTCTACAAGAGACCACTTACCCCGGCATGCACTGCATGAGGTAACGAAATGTCCCATCCAAATATGTACAGCAGGACCCCCATGAATCCGTAGCCGATTCCAGCACAGCATTGGTGCAAGGCATACTGCAAAAAATAAGGACACTGTGCCGCTAGCAATGCAACACAACATTTAGACGACACAGTATTCTACCTGATTGTGGCATTCCTGTAGTTCAGCCTATAGTTAAATATTTATACGCGTGTACTAAACTCCCATAACGTGCGATATAGCTTTTTTATTTGTTTAGTTCGCTATCTCACTATCTGGCCATTGTGTATTATAACCACTCTTATCTGAACTGGAGGATTATATTTTTGTTAGATAGAGCAATATAACCTGAGGAAACCATGGAAGTTGTTGGATGTAATTTCAAGGGTTACAATTATGGAGTGTGTTACCACGACCCGCAGTCGTGGTAACACACTCCCCTAAATAAGCCCTAAATAAATTGCGATATCTTTTGTTCAGACTTCATACCAGTTCTCGTGACGCTGTGAAACAGCATTCTAAGCTTTGCACCTAGCTGATCGATGTTTTAGTTTTAGTATATTACCTGATTACGGTGTCATACGTAAGCATGAACAGTTTGTGAGATTACATAATTGATAGGATGAACGTAAACAAAATTGTACACATGGCACGTATAATATAATGACAAGAGCCTATTGTGCTTCACGTCACAATTTGTTTTGTGTTGGCCTATGGGATCAGTAGTACATAATCGTGTTCAGACATTTAAGTAATCAAAATCAATGCATAACCAATTATGTATTACATGTAGCATTCGGGCATTATCTGCGCAACCAGTTAAGTTCGGTTTGTGGCGTTGTTCTACTTTGATTGATTGATTTGTGGGGTTTAACGTCCCAAAACCACCATTTGATTATGAGAGACGCCGTAGTGGAGGGCTCCGGAAATTTTGACCACCTGGGGTTCTTTAA